TACAGAACTGACTAAGCCTGGGATAATTTCAAAAAATGCTGATAAAGGTTGCAGTTATCAAAAATTCACCTGGAACAAGTAAAAGAGGATCAAGGATAAAAGTGGACATATGGCTGCTCTGGCCAACTAAAGCCTGAAAAGGTATTTTCATGCCTACATTTTGACTGTGTTCTGTGAACCGTTAGCAAACAACGAGAAAAGTCAGAAACTTTGCCTGTCCCCTAGTCGGAGAACTTACTCGGGCAATGCCATCTGTTGTTAACTCTCATCTCTCTCTCTGGTTGCATTATTTCCTCTATCACTTAACTGACCTGTTTTTGGAGACCTTAGTTTGCTTCTGAATGTCTTTCCCTGGAACATCATAACTGAATCACTATCATGTTACATTTTTATTAACTACTTTTAGTGATCTTCCGTAAAAGCTGCCTGCTTCAGCAGATGATGGAAGGGTCTGTATTTAGCCACAAAATAAGTCAATGATGTGTCCCATAGGTAGGCTATATTTTGCTTTGGTTTGTTTACTACTTCTTCCATGTCTCCTGAAATTACCTTTTTGTAGGCAAGTTCTGTGTTCTCTAAACTGGAACATGTGACCCATCCTTTGAATTTCTCTTTTGCTTCTTTCTGGAAAGTCTGCATGAGACTTTCAAGGTACATCTGATAGTTCCCTCCTTCTTCATCCACTTGTTTCCCTAGTTCTTCCAGGGTGGGAGAATGCACTTCAGCATCAACATAGGAGTTTCGAGACTGAGTGACCATCTCATGTGGGACCTGCTCCAAAGAAAGGAGGTAAAGCACAGAGGAAAAAAATCTCCTGTTGAGAACCTTTTATAAGGCAATGTTTACGAGGCTGCTGGACCATTTGGTACCAAATCACAATAAGCCTATTATCTGGAAAGCAAATACCTATTTCTATCTGTTTATTATACAGGGTGAGCAATCAAGATACTGTATTGAAATAGTCAATGGGTCAGCAGAGCACCACTCATGCAGAACAGTATCAACTGTATGTCAAAGATGCTGATCAACTGTATGTGAAAATATCTGTGTTACTGATAGGCTACTCCTCCAGCCCTCAAAGATGTTGCCTTGCGCTCCTGGGAAAGGGAGATATGAGCATTCTCTTTCCTTCACCTGCAGTGAAAGTAGTTCCAGGAAGGACTCTCCCCCTACGTGACTGAACTTTCTTTCATGACGCAAAGAAATAAAATATGTCAAGCTTCCTTTTTGAGATGGATTAGTTTTAACTGAAGTGCTAAAAGCATATAATAAAATTAGGAATTAAAACAGCAGATTTTGATTTTAGACTAAAATTTCCTAATCCTGTAATTTGGCTTGAAAGCTGCCATAGAATAATTACCTTGCATTTTTAATAGTTGCATCTTTGAATGCTAGAAGGGAACAATTGTAAAGAAATGAGATAAATAAACTGCAGATGGAACAGGTTTACAAATAAGTGAAGAACCATCAATCTCTGAGCTAATACAAGACAGAAAATGTAGGCATAAATACTTCAAAGGATGCAGCATTATATGTCCATGAATAATGCTATTTGAGTCTCTCACTCACCTCAAAAAGTTTGTTGCATTCCACTATCATGTGAGCAAGTCCCTGAGTAGCTGCCAGGTTTTCACTGAGGTCCTTCTGATCTGGCTTCCCTGTTGCATATTTTTTCTGTATCACTCTGTAATTGAATTCAGTGTCTCAGGTAAAAAGAGCTGAATCTTTTTAATACGAAAGCAAACATAGCAGCAGGCTGTTCATGAGAGAATAGTCTGTCCTTAGTTTTCATTTATCGCAAAGATTGTTCAGACTACGTTGAGCCTTTTTTAAAAGAAAAAGGTTTACCTGGAATATTGTTGAGCCAAAGGTAAAAACAGGAAAGATTACATATGTCCGGCATTAGGTGTTGTACATTTTGGAATGGACTTCTAACAGCTATGATGCACAGGGTTTTATGTCATTACTGTTTAAAGTTCTTGCTCTGACAGTACTTGTAAGATTGGCCATGAATCTGAACATATTCCAAATAAGATGGGAAAAGAGGTCAGAAGGGACATTAAGTTGGGATGTTAATGTTTAGTTTAGCAGGGTTTGCCACGACCTGACATGAACTCTGCTCTCCAAGAGGCAGGAAGTATCCAGAGAATACATGTAGTGACCAAACAAAAATACACTCAGTGGCAAAAGGGGGATGGAGATTTCCTGACTCGCAGTCCTACACTTATCTTGCTTGCACCTGATGCGCCTTCAATAAGCATTGCACTTCCTCCCTGGAAACATCCACTGACTTTTGCAAGAATACGGCTTTGCACCTTGTGCCACTCACTTAAAATCCGCATGCTAAAATCCCCCCAAATTGTTCTCTCCTCACTATATCCAGTCTTTGACTTAAATCAGAGCAAAATCAGGCCCTTTCCCTTTAGAAGCCAACATTGGTTATACAAAACTCACTTGCGCCCCACTGAAATTTTGTATGAAAAGCAGGCACTTGCATATTTGCAATAGGCAGACAGAAACATCAAGCTGGGCTGGCAAAAATGCCTTCTGTGCATATACCAGTGTGTTTTTGGCTCTGTAGTATCAGCTTCACCCTCTCTGTGCCCTTTGTAACATGCAGTGGAAAACAGACACTGAAGAAAATTTTACTCCAAATATCTTTAGAAACACTGAAAGCATCATTTTGCGTTAAGCCAAGGATATGACTAGCTATAGCATTAGGAAGAAACTTACCTAGGGGAGCTTTCCTTCTTCACTATATTAAGGTGGAAGAGGGAAGGGGCCAGGCAAACGGCGATGTTCATGGGAGTCATCTGGTTCTCCTCCACGGAGGTGACGTCGCTGAGGAAGCACAGCAGTGTCTGCAAGACCTCCCGGTTCTCATCCGCCATCAGCATGCCAGCCTGCAGCCGCTGCTCCGCAGGAACATCTGCGGAAGGGCACGTGGCCATCAGTGGGGTCAATAGTAACAGCAGATAAGAGCCTGGAGCAGGCTAAAGTTACCTAGAAATTCACTCTTTGGGAACTTTTTTAAAAAGAGGCAGATGAAGGGGCTGAGACCAATTGATTACTGGAGCGCTGCTGTGTTTGCTCTTCCACCAAGCGTAGTGTGCCTAGCCAAGTTTATGACATTTCTCTGTTCCTTATGCATTTGAAAGGCTGTTCCCTAAGCAAAAGACTGAACTTCATTTCAAGTTTATGAAGTGAGAGTAATACTCAGTACTCACATCTTTGAATGTTACTTTTCAGGTTTCTTTTGTCCCTTGGGAAGACAGTTCAAAAGTCTTAAGAAAGCTTTGGGAAAATACTTACACGTGTCCTAATCCATAAAAGAGTTTAACAAAAGCAGTAATGGATGTGCTTAAATAGCATCTAAGATAGATTCATTTCTAAAACTACCATAAGTTTTCACAGTTTGGATTAGGAGCCCTCCTCTGGGTATTACACATACTCTACATAATCGAACGAAAGAACAACAAAAGCAGATTTACAGTACGGGGAACAGCCAGCTTTTAAGCTCTTCCTGTTAGCCTTGTGCAAGCTCTTTATTTTAAAGGCTTTCAGACATGAATGACAAACAGCACAGTGCCATGTTTCCAATTATCTACAAGTGGAAAGGACAGGTCTTTTTGAGAAAGTTAGAGAAGCCTTTGATAAATATGTGCAATGTGTCTTTTCTCCTCATATATCCTCTTCACACTTCCTCACCTGTGTTCTTGCACTGGCAAGTCTGATGCATACAAAAGAAGACTGGCCAGACCTTCAAGTCATAGGTAAACACTAGGCAATGGAGGGTTTTCAGGAAGTGGAGAGAGTTTCATCAAAGCTATGCCAAATAAAGGACCTCACTAATCATCTCATCCCCATTCCCCATACTGTGTTATAACAAATCAAGCCGTTCTGGATACATGAACAAAGCCCCATCAGAAGCTCTGTGACACCCAGAAAACCAGAAATCCCTTGCCAATATGCTAAGAGAGGAAAAATCCTTTCTAACCTCACATTAGTAATTTGTTAAACAGAATGAATGTGAGGAAAAACTCCCAGCTACAGATTTATTTAATTGCAGACGTTATGAAATGCAATCGGTATCCCAGCAATTTTCAACATTTTTCTCCCTGTGAAAGGGATTCTGTCAGTACTATCTGAAACAGAAAAATATCTTTGTTGTTGGTCACATGGAAGAAAACACTGCTACCTGTTTTTAATCCAAAATTTTGTTCTTCAATGTCTAGAAATCATCTTTTCCTTTTGCTACGCTGGTTTAAATAGACCCATACTCAAGTCTTTCTGATATCCTTTAAAACACTTGTGCAGTTCAAGAAAATCTTTCCTAGCACCTTCTTTTCTCCAAACAGTGAGTTCTTCAGATTTCCTACTGCTGTTCCATGTCACGTTACAGAGTCAGCCCATGCCCCTTTTTATAGCCTTTTCTGTCGGCGGGCAGAAATGTTTCACTGTTCAGCCTTTTGGCTGTTGTGAATCCTAATGCCAGGCTCCTGCCTCAGGAATGGGAATTCCGGCCAATTACAGGCCTGACAACACTGATAATTGCCTTGTTTCTCTCTCTTTGGCAAGGGGATAGTTTGCTTGCAGTGATTCCTATGCTGAGATAGGACATTCCCAATTTTGATCAAGCAACAGTTTAAACCTGATTTGTTTCCAAGGGCATGTACAATATAGCCTTTTAGCTGATAAGCTTCTCCTGGGTCACTTCATTGATGGAAACTACTCTGATTGCAATTTTACTAGTACTGAGAATTCTTGCTGCATTTCTGAACACGCTCACCGATGAGTGTGTAGGTGGATGTGACCTGCAACCTGTGAGCATGAAAGAAGAGGGGGAAGAGATGGTCCAAGGCTGGGCGCCAACTGTTTCAGTTCACTGGTGTCCCAAGACATCCTGTACGACCAAATCCACTAAATTTATTTTTGATGCCACCCTTCACTGTGAAACTAGAACCACAGCACTTCTCCATACACCAGGGTACACTAGGTCCAACAGATTTTTGCAGTAAACAGAGGCACAGAATTAACTTCGATTCTTTAGCACTGCGCTTATACAGTGTTTAAAAATGGTTTTCTATTGTTATAGCTGCTGAAATGTCTGCAGTTGAAAAGGCTAGACACACTTCTCTTGAGTGCTTCCAATTAGCTGGCTAGGTATACTTCTCTGTATCTGCCAAAGCATTGGCTGACTGTCTTCATAATGGGCATTATCAAGAAAACTCTAATTCCTCTGGCTTTTTAGTGTTTTCCTCATTGTTTATTGTTTATTCCTCCCTCAGTTTGGACAAGAAATACACAGTCATTTCCTGATTTGCGTGAATTTTCAATTTCATTCTTATGCATTTGAATCTCAGATTTTGCTGAAGACTTTCTATGCTGAAAAGAAAAGAAGAAACCCTCTGTTTTTTTCTTTATCTATTAGATCTTTGCATGAAACCTATGTCTAGGGGGTAAATGAAGGCAGCTGGTTTCTTACATGCACATTTTATGAACCATAATGAAAAGACAAATAATCAAAAGTCCCAGGAAAGAAGAGAATGGTAGTGGCACATGTTCTCGTGGTTAAGTACCACTTCTCCATGGTCAAAAGACTCACTTGTATTGAGACGTTTGCAAGAAATGGGCCCGCAATTTAAAGAAATCTGACAAAAATATGAATCTCCACACTTTTTATGTCCACGGGCAGCCTCTTCTCCTGGCTTTTTTTTAATGGAAAAGACTGATATTTTGAAAGCTTCTTAAGACTTGGATACTATCTTTCCATTAAAGTTAATGACATTTTGACACTGAAACCTTTAGGCAGGTCTAAAAATCTCTCAACTAAAGACTCTGAGGCCAGAGAGGTTCTTTTTAGACATCTTGGTGGTGAACAGAAAGAATAGAACCCAGTGTTAATAACATGTTTAAAAGTATTATAACACTTTATTATATCATATATAAAATTTATAATAATAAAAGTCTTTCAACTTACACTGGTAGATGTGTAGAAAGGTCTCTCCTAGCTTACTTGTGAGGAGAGGTTCTGGCAGGTCCCTGAAAAACTGCTTTACCATGTCTGCCACATCATACGCTGACTGGTCTTCATAACTGACATTTTCCGGGGAGCTTTCATTCATCTGACGTAAGGCCTGGATTCGGGATTTCACTCCAGATTTTCGAAACAGGCCCACCTAAAAAGGTGCCAGGTTGAGTTGGGTAAAAGGACAATTTATTTAAAGAACATAAAAAATATTTATTACAGGTGGCTGTGGTTATTACCAAAGCTACAACAGCTTATTTTGCCCTCAGCAACAGCAAAAGAAACATGTTTTGCAAATGCCACAGTCATAGTTTGCCCACAGTGTCATAAACAACTACACTCTCTCGTGGTAGGACTGTAAGAGTTAATAATTCTGCTCTTCTATATCAGAACGTGGAGGAAAAGTTCAGAGTGCATGTGGTTACGCTGTTGCCTGAAGAGTTTAAGCAAGATCCTTAGCTGATATAAATCAGTGTGGCTTGCTTGGCTTCAGTGACTGTCTGTTGATCTACTCCAGCTGAGAATCTGGTTCCTCATGTTTATTTGGGTATATATTTTGAAGACTAACAAGAAAATATTATGTTCAGCTAAGTAATAAATGCTGTGGCAAAAGATTAGTACATCCTGGTAGAGCTTTAAAACCAAGACCAAATCTATTTTTTTCCCTTCCTGTTCTCTGCTTCCAACAGTTCTCCCAAATTCCACTAAAAAGCCCAGTTAGAAAGCAGAGGCCACAGAGGGATTATTTGTGTAGTGTCACCAAGATACATTTTTATCTTGTTTGCTTTCTATTCTAAAGGAAGTGGTAATTCTTAAAAGGGGGCCTGTTAGTGCCTTCACAGCAGTGCTGCCCTTTTACAGTAGTTCTCATAAGTGGAATTCCCCGGAGGTGAATTCCTGAGCGTGAACCACATTATTTATTCCCAAGTGAGTTTACAGTGGTTCATTTGGGAAGTATTAGCACTGTTTTCCTTCAGTTTTGCAGGGGAAAAGGTGAAATATTGAGAAAGATCTATAAAAAGGCATTCCTCTGGTTTTGAATTATAGCCTTTAGCTCCTCCATGTCTGCTGTCTTGTTCACTGTCAGTTCAGCCTACCGCATGGCACAGGCAACCAACAAAAAAAAAAAAAAAAAAAAAGCAAAGGCAAGGGAATGTGCCTTTCATCCTTATTCCTCCTTCTTCTGCCAGCCCAGAGTTTATTTAGGTCTATCTTCATCCTGTACCGCCTCTCTAGACTGCTTTCCGTGTTCAGCTGTAAGGCATTTAGTTTTTTTGTTAACTCATGTATTAAAAACACAAATCACATAAATCATACTATATGCTATTCTGTGAGAGGATGTGTTCACTTCTATGGGGATGAACTAGTATGCGAGACTGAAAGCAGTGGCTGTGAGCTGCTGTTCTGCTATATTCTTTTATTTATGAGTTTAGTGCTGCTCATGATCTAAATAGATATGTAGGAATTACAGAATTAGAGCTTGGCCTATGTACATCCTGGTCCATGGTATATCTATCCACAGGTGAAGCTCTCCTTAGTTTTGACAAGAGAACCCAAGAAAGAACATCTGGCTCTTTCTATCTGGTTTTCCCTTTCCCTTTCTCTTCTTCACAGAATCACAGAATCACAGAATCGTTTAGGTTGGAAGGGACCTCTGGAGATCATCTAGTCCAACCTCCCTGCTCAAGCAGGGTCACCTAGAGCATATTGCCCAGGATCACATCCAGACAGGTTTTGAATATCTCCAGCGAAGGAGACTCCACCACCTCTCTGGGCAACCTGTTCCAATGCTCTGTCACCCTCACAGTGAAGAAGTTTTTTCTTCCTTTTAAATAATTTCTCCTCTTAGTTACCTGTGCGCTGAAGACACAGGACAATGCTAATTTTATCCAAAAATAAAATTCTGGCATGTGGTAGATAAATGTGATGACAGCCAAAAAAAACAGCTCTGTTTTTGACAGAAAGTGTCCTTCCCGGCATTAAGAACCTTTAAAAGCTTACAACTCAGTCTGATTTGAGAGGTCAGACACCAAATCTCATCAAAGTAATCTCCTGCTGCACATCACTCTGCTACTCCCAATCTCTCTGTTTGTTTAAGGATATTTATTCAAACTCTTCTTTTCCTTGTTTTTGGGAAAATTCACAATGAATCAAAAGAAGACAGTTCTTCACTTTATAGAGATGTTTTAGGCTCTGTTCTGCAATATTACAGACTCATTCTCTGAATAAAATGGGACTACAAATCCAGTGATCTATGAGAGACTAGTTTGGCCCAATCTCTTTATTTTCCTCATGCTGTGGATCATCTGCTCTGCAAGCATCCATATGATGCATGACAGAAATAAATATGCAGTTGACAAAGGCAAAGCAGTTTCTATTTTGCAGGCTGAAACTGAATAACATAGCCTACACATAATGGTGAGGATCCTCTTATAATCTTAGATATCTCAATGCTGGGAGCCAGACCTTATACCAGTTTAAAGCAACCCAGACTTTACTAAGTGTATGCAGTAGCAGCAATGCACAACTCTGCAATGCGCAGAAGAGATACATACACGAGATACTGGGGGAGTCTGGAGGCTGCTCAGACCTCTGAGCCAGGCGTTACGAGGCTTCAAATTAAATGGGAACAAAGGGAGCAACTGTCAAGGAAAGAAGCTGAATTACTTGGAGATTTTCAGCCCAGAGCTGGGTGGAAACATATTTTCAATATTCCCAATCTGTACTTTTCTTCCTTTATCTTGTATTTAATTTTTTCCCAATTTCACTTTAGCTGACTTGACTTGGTGCTTCATTCAGGTCTGATGCTTCCCAGCAACTAAATCCCTCCTCTTGGAGCACATACTTGCCTGAGACTGCCCACGGATGCTCCTTTTGACTGCCTCAAATCTGTTAAAAGCTTTTTCCTTCTCTTCTGTTTTTCCTTTGCCTTTACTTTCTCCCACAGTTATTCTCCAATTCTTTACTCTTTTTCCCTATTGCTCTGCTACTTAGCTGACAAATCCATCCCTATGTTTGCACCTCCTATTCCCCACACTTAGGCAAATGTCTTCTCCTCCAGTTCCATTACGGATTCCAGGGCTGCTGCATCATTTTTTTTTACTATGTTTTTTTCCAATTCAGTGCACAAACTCAGATTACCACAGAGGTAGTCATGAAAGATGCTGCATACCTTCTTTCTACCTGTGTCTATCCATCTTCCCCTTCCATCCACTGTTAATACATTCTCAACAGGCTGTTCTTCCAACTCCTTAACTCCCACACTACATACAGTAGGCAGAATTCATCTTACTTCATTTTAGACATCTGCAAGTTAGGTGTGAAGGTCTGGCTGCTACACTTGACTTTTACAGTAAATAAGAGAAATGGTGGGAAGTGCCTATGTCTTCCCACTGGCTGTTATGGGATTCTTCACTGATTCACAGCTAGATGTTGAATTTTTAGATTTCCATGTTGGGGAAGATGCCTGTCACTGAGCACAACAACCTGAACAACAACGGAACAGTGATCAGAAATGGAAAGATTCAGAACTGACCACTTCCACCCTTTTTGTGTGCACAGAGCTAGCAAAGCAACAAAGTCTGTAGAGTAAAATGCTGGTTGCTCCTTTTGAGCTTACAGCTGCCTAAAAGCAATTACAGAAGAGGTCATATGATGTGATGCCAATAACAGTAGAAGACTGAACTCAATGAGCCAGAGGATTTCTCCCAGACCTATGTTCATAAGGATATATATCCTCTTCCTTAGGGGAAGAACAGTAAAAATATGATTGGTATGTCCCTGCTCAGTACCTAAAGTGAAGCAAAAAGTTTGAAATACTTTGAGTATGTGCATCTCCCTATTGGCTTGCTGCAGCTAACAACACTGTAAAAGGAAACATACGGTAATGGCTTTGCTGTTGAACCCTGCTGACCTAAACGTATCTGGGTATATCTCGTTTTGTCAACAGAACACTTGGAATATTTTGCTGAGTTTGCTCTCTATTTTAGATAATTCTTTCTCTGTTAAGTAAATCACACCTTTTTTATCATATCTTGTGAAATGGTGAATGTGTTTAACTCTCACTAGCAACAGTCAAGTGTGAGCAGTGCAGATATTGGCAAAAACTGGGAATGATAAGCTCTTCCTAGGACTGATTCAATAGATGTGAAGATTCTACGCTATTCTTTGACATATGCTATTGCATACAAATCAGTAGGACTCTTATAGCTACAGGAATTCAACAAATTAACTGAATGCAAATCTCAAAATGGGAAATGACTGGTTTTAGTACCAAGTACCGAATCACCAAAGGAGATTTGGACTGATATGAACAACATGAGATATAGCAACCTTATTCTGGTACTAAAGCACTACCAGTGCTTGCTTAGAGTGTCTTTAGAGTCAATGAAGTCCCTGCAGTAAAGTTCATACCTGATCTAGACAGGTACTGCGTAAGTAGCGTAGTGCTTGCTGTATGCTCTGGGGAAGAGGCTGTCCGGTTCTCTGGACATGAACTATCAAAGGCACACCAAAGACGTTCTTGTCCTTGTAGTCAGGGACTTTCATCCTCTTCATGAACTTTGGCACAGACCTGAGAATCGACATGAACAGACCACATGAAAGTACCAGAATATTTACACAGTCTTTCTGAGTAATGCTGCTGGGAGAAATTGGTAGCTGGGAAGATCTCCTATTTTATAAAGATGGTCAAATAATGTTAAGTCCATGATATAGGGACACTTCACAGTCTGTACAATTTGTGGATCTCTTGACCCATTTTTATAGGTAGATGGCATCTGGCTCTAAGATATAGTAAAACAACCCGTTCTAACAAAAAACAACTGTGCAGTTGTCATCCAGCTGAAGCCAAAATGATTTAAAACATCCAATAGAGACTCAAAGGAAAAACACAGCAAAGTGTAGCAGAGAGGGTACCTGAGAGAAAAGGAGGATCAGTCCTCTAACATGCTGAATGATTTTACATCTATTCAAACTATCAGTTTCATGATTTAGCATTTCTGTTGCCTAAAAATTCACAGTAAAAATGATAGTTGGAAACCTTTATGAACCAGGCTGATCCCTGGTGTTACCCCACTGATTTCTGCTAAATGTACTCTAGTGAAGCTGGTGAGCTTGCTTTCCTCAGTAAACAACACTGCAAATGAGAAGAGACCAGATTCCCTTTGTGGGAGTCATGACTGCAGTGGGATTAAAAAGATGGATGAATATGACCCAAATATGACCAAGATTTTCTCTTCTGTGTGGGAAGGAGATAAAACTTGGATTAAATGACCTACTGAAGGAGTACAGAATACAATTTTACAGCTATTTAGCGTTCCACTGCTTATAAATCCTTAGAGACTGATTATACAAACTGAAGAAATATTTGTCAGGAGGGAAAACCTTTGTACAAACAGCAGAATCTACCATTTGCTATATCCTAGTCTGCTTATTTGGAGTAAGTTAAGGTGAGATTTATCTCAGTACAGACATATCGTTAGCTAGCCAGAGGAACTGCACCAAAGGAAAACAGCAAGTTGGGGGTTCATCTTATTTAATTTTAGCTATGTAAAGGACATTTAGAAAGAGTTAGCACTCCCAGCTGGCTCCATACCCATTGTGGAGGGAGGCACTTTTGGAGGGTGATCCTACCCCTCTGTCATGGTAGAATAAGTTGCCTTGGGGTTGCCCGTCTTTTTCCACTGACAATAGCGCCAGCCGACCTGACTTGCTCAGACTAAACTCCTAACTTTTTGGAGTGGCTGATGTTAGTGAGGAGGGTCACACATGTAGTCCCTTATATCTCTTTTTCTGTTCTAAAAGTAAACTTGCCTTATCTAGCTCACAGCACAATTTAGTAGGATATTGGTGAAGTGCTTTGAACATGGAAATCACAATATAAATGTTAGGTCATATTACTGTTGGACTTAGTGTTTCTGTGTACTTAGGAAAGTTTCTATTATCTTTTTGGTTATTTCTCAGATACTGATAACCTCTCATCTTTGTTCATTTCCATTTCAGGATACCTCAGTCTACATGACACCTCAGGATTAGCATACTATTAAACAGGAAGGTTTCTCTAGTTGGTTGTGCTCAAAGGAGACACATCACCAGCCTTCACATCCATCTGCCCTTAACTCTACAATCTGAGTGCCCAGGTAGCTCTGTTATGGCTGCAAGCAGCCCATAACACAAATCCAGACCTAGGCTAAAGCTTGCATCTTTTGATCTCTAGAGAAAAGTCCTCTTATCCAGTTCTAACTATCCCTTTAAAGCACAAACAAGACAATATTGAATATGTGAGGTCTTATCAGCAGCTGTTTCTTTTTGAATTACAAAATGAATTTTGGGGAAGACTTATTTTAAACATTTCCTCCTTTTAATCACTCTCTCTTACTCCTGTTTATTTTTCTGGAACTCAAATGTTGTTAGAGAGGCCAGGGTTGTCTCTCTGTTTGAGCGCAGGAATGAGGTCAGATCTCTAGGATCTATTTCTGACTTTGCCACTGAGTCACTAGGCAGCTATAGGTTAAAAGGGACAGTTCCAAATTCTTCAGTTAAAGTAAATTTTTTCTCCTAACTCTATTTATTGAACTTACTTACAATTAGAATTATAGAATTATCACTTCTTCTAAATATATCTCTTTTCCCGTTATCTATTGTACTCACCAGGTCCAGCCATGTTTGTTTGACATGGAGTATTTTTCCATGATGGCAGTAAGACGAAGTAGAGAGAATTTTTGCAGTAGATTCAGTTGGGCTGCTGACTGATTACTGATGTGAAGTGATGCTATGGAGTGGCTCAGGCGATGAGAGATTTGGAAACTATGCCACCGTAACCGCCTTTAGCCAGAGAAACAGTAGAAATTCAGACAAGTAAGTGCTTTAATTGGGTGGAAAAAGGTGGTATACTGTAAGAAAAGACTGGGCAATATATAAACAAATATACATATACATATACATATACACACACACTTATGGCTCATGGTGTTTGAGCTGAAAGAAAATGTAGCTTGGAGGCAAATTAAACAATCTACTTAGCTTGAATTGCTTAATTTTGGAAATGCTCAAGCTTTGATTTTTTTATGTTAGATTCACATGTAGGTGTGGGTCCCTTTCATGCACACAGAGCAGCAGTGTTGCCTGTTATGTTCTTTAGCCCACACATTTCCAACAGGATGTGGGAAATCCAGATTCAAATATTCTCTCCCTGACTCAGAACTGGGTCCCTCACCTCCCAGGAGACCAGCCTGACCAACAAGGTATTTGGAGATGATGTTCTCCAAATCTCTCCGTTATAAAATTGCTGAAGGATTTTTTCATAGCAGGGTTTGAACCCTGTGTCTCCTAGGCAAGAACCATAACCACAGTCTATTGAGCTATTCTCATTTTCTCTTTATCCCAATTAACTTTCTCTATGTACTGAATGTATTGGAATCAACTCATTTCAGTTTCTTGTTTTGTTAAACATGAACTTTGGCTCAAATCCTGCAAGTTTTGGCACTGTTTATTTACTTAGTAGTTTCCTAGAGTTTGCTTGCATGTGATGGTGGTGAGTAAGCATGGGCAGAAGTAAACCATGGCACGGCAGAATCTTGCATGAGGACGTGACAAGACCGAAGGCAGATCAAAAAGTGCCAAGTATTTTCTCTCTGCTCCCACACATATGAACCCACCCTACACACAGCAGTACAGATCCAGAAAGCACTTTACCAGAACAGTGCTCAACTGGAACTCATCCCTCTATTTCATAACAAGCCTCCAAACTATTAACAAAGTCCTGCTCTACACTTTTACTAACAAGCTAATTGTACATCATCATTTCATCCAGTTGCATAAGGGACTGAGGGAAGGTTACAGAAATTCTCTGTAAGAACAAAGGGCCACAATTTTAAAGCAGATCAGTGCATAAAAACATGCATAAGGCTACTGACATATACATACCGTCTGTAATGCATATAGAGTCTTCTTTTAAAATAGGATGGATCATGGGAGAAAAAATATGCCCTAATTTACACTGACTCTGCACTGATTCCACATAAGAATTTCTAAAGGAAAATCTCCCTTGCCCAGAAATACTCCTTTGCTCTGAGAAGTCCTCTTCCCCATACAGGACAAGTACAACTATAGTGAGACCCTACACTTTGTGATGCCTAGAGTGTGATGCCTCTCCTTCATTATATCATATTTCACAATCTATCATTTTGTTAACAGAAGAAGAAAGATGGAATTGTGTAAAAAATCTTGTTACCTACCTGCTTGGCCTTGTGAGAGATGCTCCCACACCAGAGTCTCTCCTGTCCCTAACACCGGTGGCTTCTGACTCATTCAGGGATGTTCCATCTCTGTCCATGTCACTCGGTGTGGTCCGGCCGTCAGAGACGGAGTTCCCTTCAAAATCAAGTGTGATCTGTGTGGGTGACTGGAAAGGCAACGATGAAGATTCTTTGATGGACACATCATCAACTGGCAGACCTGGCAACACATTCTTTGACCAGCCATCTACTACCTCTTGGAGTCCATTGACATGCTGCAAAATGTCATCTAAATGAGGGAAAAGGACATCTTTCTCTAAGTCCAGTAGGTCCCCAGTACTGGCATACAAGTGGGAGCCTGGCACATTGTCATAAATACTAACTCTGCTCTCTTTTGGACAGCAAGCAATCAATCCAGTCTCTTTTGGAGTAGAGCAGTTCTGTTTTCCCAAAGAGATGCTGCCTGTCCTCCAGTTTACATTATTACTGTTGTCTGTAGGTGAAAGGCTTTCAATAGAAAGTGCCTTCGGGAAGGTCCCCGGTTTGTGGTCCTTGGGAATATGCACAACCAAGTTCTCTTGGGAATGAAATTCATTTTTTCGATTTTCATCTACCACTTGCCGTAAGGCTGTTCCTGCCAGAACATCTAGGTCCTCCAAGTACATCCCACCTCTCTTGTTTGCTTCATGACCTTTGCGCTCCTTCAAACAGGGTGTGCTCACCCCGCTGCTGCTGTTTTCGGACTGACTGCTGTCACTGCTGGATTTGGCAGAAAAGGAGAGTCCTCTTTTGACTGAATCTTGCCCTAAGTTTTGGAGATCGCCATTGACTATCTGTACACAGTGCATATCTTTCAAAGATTTCGGCTCATATTGAAGGACAGGTCCACTTATCTCTAAAGGACCTGTTCTTCCTGAGCCTTTTAGCTTTCCATGCACACTTTTTGCTTTTAGTGTCTCCATGCGTTTCAGAAAGGTTTTTGCTTTTGTTCGTGTTGGTTTCTCATTCTTCAGGCTGTCTTTGTGGGCCAGGGCAGTGCTTATTGCAGTGGAGTCTTGTAGAAGTGTGTTTTCTACATCATGCTGGCCAGTGCAGTCGCAGATCTCCCTGACAGCACTGCTGATACCAGATTGACTCCTGTTGTCACTTCCCCCACTGCTCTCACTGTGAATCGATGAGACCTCAGGTTCGCTTAGATCTGTAAGGACACTCTCACTGCTTGTTGTATTTTTCATTTTAATGTCCCCAGAAGACCCATGTCTGTCTGATCGATGAAGCAAAGTATCAATATCGTCCACCCGAGACCATCGCCTGCTGGTTCTTTGGAAAGTCCATTTATTACTGATAGCACAGAGGTCTTCCTCATCTGAATCTTCACTCTGGAAAACAGCAAGTAGCACATGTTAAGAGCAGGTGCTTTTATTCATTATTTGAATTAATACGACTGTACTGCTCAGGGGAAAAAAAACAGGTGGTAAAGGCACCATGAATCTAGTTCTGTGGGATATTGGTCATCAATCCTTTCATTCCAGCCCTTATCATTTCACTGTAAAGACTGCAGTGAGCATGTTAATGAGTAAAGGCTAAAACCCTACTCTTCGTTAAAGAGTTTATGAGTGGACAAGCTATGCCATATCAATGCCTCTTGGTTTCAGCGGGGTGGTTTGCCTGTGCCCTAAGCAGGGTAGGACTGATGCCTACAATGACTGTTCAGAATAAAAAGAAGGTTTTGAAAGGTGCTCATAGGTGGGTCCTGACTTGCAGGGATGGTGCTAAGACATGCACAGGAAAGACTGGGAAGTAGCTGGGTACTGGAGCAATGTGTACCAAAGACAGCAAATCTCCTGCGATGCACTTTTGCCGGGAGAAGTAAGTAAACACTTCTAATAGCAGCAATAAACCTCTCAGACCATGTAAATCATTTATGCCTCAGGAACCTAACTACAGACACACAGCCACAACGCTTGGTTAATAATAGCAAAAAAAAAAAAATATTTGGAGGTATTACTTAGGGTGGGTGAGCAGGAAGGCAAAGGAAGGTGGCAAAGGCTGGGGAGGAGTGGGCAGGGGAAGAGCCACGGCTTGGTTCTGCCCAGCATGTGCATATGGGAAGTGTCCAGAGGTGAGGGGGAGTCCTCCTGCAGCCCTCCTGCAGCCCTCCTGTCTTCCTTGCCTTTGCCAGCAGGATGGACCCTAGGACTGGCAACCCCAGAGCTGCCCCATGCTCCCTGATCTCCGCCCACCAGCTTTCCAGGCACAGCACAAGCAGTACTGCAGCCCTCCCCAGCAGTACCCTGCCTCAGTCCTTGGCCTCCGGCACGCATCTTTGTGCTTATGCAGTGCCGATAGCTAATCATCTGCAATGCAGACAACATTTACCATGAGAAAATATGGATAAAAAAGCTCCTCTATGCCATTTCTCTCATCTGTTTGTCCAAACAAGGAGGATACATCTTTAGCATGAAGCATGCAGTTGTTGCGGAGCTCACGGTTCTCTAAGGATGTGAAGCCCACAGCTGCTAATGAATACCCTTTCCTTGACTTTGAATTGGGTTTATACTGCATTATTCCTGTACATTTGTTTTAAGGCAGAACAAACTAACTTCACCTACATGACATCCAAACAGCTCTTCACGTTCTTGGAAGCAATGTGAAGGCAGTAAAATATGACAGGCTGTCAGACTAAAATGAGGTGCTAAACCAAAAAGACTATTTCAGGACTGGAAAAAATTCTCATTTTAAGAGTCTATTATTAGAAGTATTTTTCTATGAAGTTTTGATGGTAAAGTTATCTTCCATCTCTGACTAGATCTCCACTGGCTTGTCTGACTGAAAAATGTAAAACAAATTTTAAAAAAACCTCCAAATCTTAAACCTCAGAAGATGAAGACTACGATCAGTAGCGTCAGGTCTCCCTAAGAGCATCAGCTTTTGCCAGTTTATCACTTTAAGTTGGCCAGATGTTTTAGATCTTCCCAAATTATAAAATAAGATATCACTGTGAAATAAGCAATTTGGGGGTTAGACATTGCTGGTTTATGTGTAATGTTGAGGTGTGCAGTCCTTCAGCTGATGTCAGCTCACAGGAATGAATGGATGCCTTAATTCTGCTGCTAGATATAGAGAAAAACTAAGCAGCTAGAGAAGTGGCAGGAAAGGAGCTGGAAATGGCTAATGCTACTTTGGTCATTTTGTCTGCAGGAAAGAGCAGAATATTAGAGAGCTCTACCTTCCGCTTCAGCTTGACGGTTTGCTGCTAGAACGAGTATATGCAGGAGGACTGCACACACTCAGACACTTAAAAATCCATCTATTGTGGTCTTAGCAGTGCCACAAAGTGGATATTTTAAAAACCGCAAGGGCATGTACTTTTAAATATTTAGCAGTGGTAATTATATCTACAAAGCATACCACTGCTGGAGCATTGATGGCACCAGCCAATAGGATAAAAATACATATTTTTTATTTATTGTACATCCCCAATATACCAAAAGGACCTTAAACAAGATTCTTGGCTGACACAAATCACTGTAGCTGCACTGAGATTACTGTACAAACTAACAGGATTTAGCCTGTATTTTCTACAAGCTGGAAACAATTAAACTAGCCAAAGTGCTAGAGACATTGTGAGAAACATCAAGAGGAGAGCAGAGAATAGGAGAAGACAGAAATAAACATAAATTCAGTGGTGAATATACTTCAAATTATTTTAGAGGAAAATAATTTTAAGATTTTTTTTAAAGCAGGTAGAGATGAACAGAAATAGATATTGATAATGAACAAATTGTGCATCTAAGCACAACAAAGGCAGGCCTACATTCTGCCCAAGAACCAGTCAGAAAATACAGAGGGTTTTCTCTTTTGAAATTTCCAGTCAATATGAAAAAAAAGGTTTAGGTTCTTTTTTTTTTTTTTAACTTGTAATGAAGCAGGCTTGTTGTGTTTCATCTGAAGGAAAAATCAAACAAATATCTGCATTCTGAAATGCTGCCATGGTGACTCACTCCAAATTCTGCCGCACTGTGTGTCCTGTGACATAATGTGCTTTTCTGTGCAATGGCTTCAGGAGAAATTCTGGAGCCCACGAACATCCGAAATCACCCACTGCTCTTGATAGATATCAGAGTGCTCCGACAAATGAGACAGTCCCAAAAAATGCAGAGAGCACTTTGCCAGCCGATGTGCTGCCAGCCATGGTGACAGTGGGTCAAGAGTAGGTCTGAAAGTAGTGATTCATTTTACACAGATTGAATAGTATCTTGTAGTAGAGACTGTAAATCTCCACTGACCTAAGCTGAATCCAAGTACACGCCTTTGGAGCATATTCAAAAGTCCCTTTAATGCCATTATGTTTGGGAAAACGAGAAGGGGCAAGTTTCTTGAGGAGCGACTGACAACATTTGCCAAAGAGAAAGAATTTTTGATTCATAGATTTGTCACAGTTGGTTTAAAATAGTACAGCTTTTCGACTGAGGGTGTACTTTCCTCAGATAGAGAGGAACAAAAGACAAAAAGTAGATTTATCCGTAATGGAATTTTGCCACATTTTTCCAGCTGGGGGCAGGAATTCTCATAAAACGACAGCTGCAGAAGACAGTTAAACCAAAGGCTAATCTTTGTCTGTCCGAATCACTTATGGACATATTTGTAACATATATACGAGGATTTCTCTGTGCTTCTCATTGAGGCTAATGGCAGGAGAGCAGCTAACTCCCTGCAGAGTGAACATACCTCTTAGCATGAAGTGGGTGGGAGAGCTGGCTGTGAGGAACACTCACCCCTTGTTGGCTTTCACAGTAACCTTGACTTATTTGGACATATTTTGATGAATCACTCAAGCAGCTGCATGGGTCCTGTGCAAACCTGTTATGCTGAACCTCCAAACCAAGCTGATTGTGCATTTTGCTGTTCAGATCACAACAAAGACTAATAGGAAAGGCAGTGTCTATAGTATCAATGCAAAACTTTACTTAAGTGAATGTTTAATTCCAGCCCCAATTTCTAGCTTTTACTTGGCCTTTTCATTTTGTCTCGTTACCAGTCTCTCCTGCCCCTACTCCTCCTCCCACATCCTCTCCGTATCTGTTGTCCCACATCTCAGTCATTCCCTCTTTCTGTGCTCTGGTTCTCTCTGGCCTCATGCACATACGGACGCAAGTAGCTTCTGTCCCACTGAATAGGTAGCCAAGTAGGACAGTCTCACTTCCATGGCAAAATATTGGACTTCTGCAAGGAGAAGAGCTGATGGCTTCCATCCATTCAGAACAGTGAGGAGTGGCAGCAAGTTTTAGTCAAAGCAAAGATAACATGAACATTCTCCTTTTTTTTCCCTGAGATAAATAGGAGCTTAAAGAAGCAAGTGAGCAAACATACAAACCTCCCATGAAAACCAAGATACTTGTCGAAGAGAAGGACAAGAACTAACATATAAGCAAAATTTCCACAGGACAATCAGCATTCATGTATATGTTGCTTTTTGCAAGTCTATATAGCTCCAGTGTCTCTGCTCAAACTCACGTCCATGTGGACATGTACACTAAAAAGAAATCATTCCAAGTATGTCAGTGATACAATATATGTAGTGAGTTCACTCTTGCTGATCGAGCTCGGTCTCTTCATATAATGCCTATCTCCCTACATTATAAAGCTATCATGTAGTCAGGGAATTTTACTGTTCATTCTGTCAGGAGTGATCGGGATATTTGATGTGGAAAGTATTGGCACTTATCAAAGACAAAAACATCCATCAGGTCTGAAGCTGTGAAGAGATGAGATCCCCATGGTTTCAGTGAATGCATAAAATGCATGCTGAAGAGGCTATGTACACAGAACAAATGGGCATGTGCAGAAGGTGATAGACTATTCAAAAGTTAAATCATTTTTTGTCTGAGTTTCCTCACATGCTGCTTAGGGTATAAATAGATCGAATGATACCAAAAATGCAACTGTAAGAGATAGTTTTCAAAAAGAGTTAGGCAAACTTTCTAAGGAAGGAAAAACATATACCAAGATTTCTCAGAGTCAACAATTACCATTGTACACTGCTGAAGAGCCTTGGGAAATTTGTGACTAGAAAACCAAATGTTCAAGAGTTCTGCTGGACACGTTACAAAATTCTCAAAATCAATAGGCAGTTTCTGCATTCCTCCCTGAAACCCTTTAAGCCTCAAATAATTCCCATGTTACACAGGAGTTTGTAAGGATGACAGGGTTTATTTTCATATTCTTAACTGGAAATAAGTCAGTACAAGAAATAAAGAAAAGCTATTGTTTTCATTTGAGGAGCTTTCATTTTTCCCTAACAGTATTTTCCATTGTGTACTCACATGGCATTGGCAAATAAGCCAGTGTAATGAAAATGCACTGTCTTTTTACCCACTAACTTAAATTGCACACGTATAAAGTTTTAAATAGTGCATGTGCCCTTTTAACACATGTAGTTTTGTTCCTGCTGTACTAGTCAGTTTTTTCTTTTTTTCTTGTACTTTCAAGATTCAGCAAATTTTTGCCCTTCCAGAAAATGCTGACACACATGTTCAAAGTCAAATATGCTTAACTTACTTTTAAGAGCATTACGGACTTACAGCCTAATTTGAGGAGCTCTTATCACAAAGCTCTGAACAAAACCAGTGCTTTTCATGACATTTCCTTACCTTTTTTCTTTGTAAGTTCACATCGAGTTTCATTGAGGCGCACTTGTTCAGGGTGTTCAGTCGTCTACAGGGTAAAGCAAATTCCAAAGATTAGCAATCTCTGATTAAAGGGCAGGACTTTTCATAATTTCAAAAGCTTTTCTCTTACCTGCCTGTAGGGTGTTAACTTCATACAACAGGCTTTAGAAAATGATACGGTTCATTTTATTCCAGGCTATAAGTCCACTACTTTAAAAGGGCATCTTACCTTCACGTTGCTTGATAGCTACCTTTTACATACTACTTTTTAATTCATAGACTTTTAAGTACTTAACAAAGGAAATGGATATAAACAGAACATTTTGCATGGATGGGGAAATGAAATGACCAGAGAGTGAGGAGGTAAATTGCCTTCTGCAGGAATGTATCATAATTAGTATAAAATGATTTAATGTAAATGCTTGGTATTTCTAACCACGTGGCAGAGACAAAAGAAAAAGTAAGTTTCAGATTCAGTTCTTCACTTTAGGCAGTTAGTACCTCCTTTAAAAAGGTGACATAAAGGAGAAATTGTAGTAATTAATTAATTATTTCTTCATGGCTGACAGTTCCTTTCCTAAACCTATAGAACTTATAGACAGATTAACATACCCAGAGTGCAACAAATTTAACATCTTCTTTAAATAAACAGTTTAGTTATTTTTGACTGTGATTTCCTTGTTATGATATTACAAAGATCTCTGGCTTATTAAATCCAAGCCTATCCCACGACGATACTGGGTTGAAATTACAATCTGATAAGCATGGAAAGCAAACATTTGCATGTGTATGTGCATCCATCGGCAGAGAGAGTCAGAGGACAGCAAAAGATGCTCTTTTAATAATGAAAGTATATGCTAATCATAACTGCGACATTTTTATTTATACTTTAAGGTCCTGATTCATGAAATCATCCGTCTTCCAAAAGTAGACAAAGGCTCAGAGTTAAATATGTTCAATTTTAAATGTTTTCCTGATTTAGGGCTGAATTTCAGAATGAGGAAGGGCAGAGTGAGAGGGGCATACGCCTACAATACTCTTCTATAAGCCTTCTGTATCTGCTTCTGAAATGTTTGTGACAAATTACAAGGACATGTGAAAACAAACGTCACTTAGTAAAATATTCTCTCACAGAGCATTAGAAGATTAGATTATTAGCATACTCCTCCCTGGGACTTATTCTAATGTTAGAAATCCTTGCAAACTGCCACCACTTAAAAAAGAGCAAGCCTACCAAATGTGGATCTTCCTTACAAAATTTCCCTCACAAAATAAGACCTGCTCATTTGTAGATGAAATACTCTTTCCTAACTCAAGCTGATAAAACCCTTATGCCGTATCAGAAAATCCTGTGCTCATCATATTAATGTGAGTGTAATGTATGCGCAAGCACACCCCACATGCATGCTAGTAATGTCCTCGTAATAAATTGCAGGCCTTGTGGTTCTGTAACTACATCTTCAGCCTTCTGCCCACAAATCCTCCTCCTCAGGGATTGCATTTATCATTGCAAAACTCATCTTTTGCCCAAACATGGAATTTCTCAACCCAAAGTTTCATTTTGCTGGGGCCCTGGCTGAGTAATGTTCAGTGCTTCTTCTGAGTATAAAATGTTTTAATTTGGATATCTATATTGATTCCAAATATACAGAGGCACAGACACATTTTCAAAGGACTCCAACTCAGCTTTCTATTTGTGCAGACAGTTTCCTTCAAGAGGTGAACTGAAGGCTCAGATCTGAGTTCCTGCACCTCTTGTTAGTATTAGCTGCCTTGTGCTAGAGAGACAAGTTTGTAGGAGCATTTCCACATGCACATGCTGTTGCGTGCACCACTGCTGGGCTGCTCAACTGTCAAGAGCACTCATATCTGCATACCTAAATCAAACTGCCAACAGTGTCCTTACACCCTTCAACTGGATAAGCCAATCTATTCTGCAAAATGAGGCATGAAAGACTTATCTGGATGTCTCTACAGTGGCACTCAGATTTACCTGAAGGCTGTGGAGTCCCCTTACTTTGTGTTTCCTGTTAATGTGACTGAAATCTGGGACTGTCCTGAGGTCCGATCCGGGCCTCGGGGCTGGCTTTCTTTTCTCTTTCTGAGAAAGTGAGAGAGAAAGGCTACGTCTGTTGGATCTTGTCTGATGGTTGGGGTGTTTGGCCAGACCAGGAATGGGGAAGCACTCCCTGGACATGTCCTACAAGGCTGAGCAGGAGAAAGGAGTCAACTAAATTCATGCCTGGAGACTCAGAAATTCTGATAAGCCATTGCATCTTTTGCAGTTGCATATCAAATCTGAAAATCAAGCTATCAGCTTCTAACTCCCTTATCTCTGTGAGAATGAGCACTGAAGAAACACCTCCTGAAAAACAGCGCTACAATACGGGCCTTGTGACTCCACAACAGTCCCTAGCAGGTGATTTCTGCAACTGTTTTCTCAATGGTTTATAAAATTGCCCTGTGATTATTGGATTATTGCCGATCTGCAGTTGTTTTTGAGAAGAAGATGTAGAAGAAAACATTTGAAATACATGGGCAATGCCCTTTCTTTAATTCAATATAATGTTGCATGCCTTCTAAAAACAAAGGAAAAGACAATGCATTTTAGGGACACAAAGAAGAGAGAGCGGCAGCCAGTGACTTATACCTTGCCCTACTTGCACCCAGGTAACTCTGCAAGTGCAGCCAAAGCAGAACACGTCACAGCGTTTCTAAAAAAGGGCCTCACCTTCAGTGTGGAAAGGTGCAGAAATCGCAGGGTCAAACAAACAAAGCAATCTGAAGCCATCACTTTCCCACTAACTGTATTTGAGAGCAAGATCATTTCAGTAGAGAACCGACAGGTCAGTTCTCTAAAAGCGAATGTCATTACTTAGACTGGAGCTTTAGAAGCTAACCCATTATCCTGACTGCTTTCCAATCAGCTTTTTCTATGGAGAACCCACTGCATCAAAAACAGAACTACTTTTTAATGAGAGCCAGGGGCTCATCCTCAGCTTGTAAATTCATCCATCTACCAAATAACGGCATGCTTTCTGTGGCTTTTTCAATACTGTGAAAAGATTTGTCACTGAAATTAGAGAACTAATGATCAGATTTGTTAGCTCGCCTGGTACTAACAACTCCAATCAAAGCCAGTCTGTTTCAGCTTTCTGTATCCTGATGATGTGCCAGCGGTGGCAGAAAGCTTTTCTCATCTGCTTATAGTTGTTAAGATGACTGACAGCCAAATCCTCAACAAATCTTTCAAAAAACAAAAAATAAAAGTCTCTGGCTACAAATGGCTGTCACTGATGTCCCAGTCAAGTTAGAGAAGCTGTGGAGATGCTACCTGCACTTTTATATTGCTGCTTAGAAACATAGGAAAAGACTACCTGTTTCTAACAAAATCTAAACTTGAAGGAGAGAGAAAAAACATAAAATAAATCACAGCTGTATTTTACACAGGAGAGGTGGGCTGTATAAGAAAACAAATAATCTATAGATGCTTTTGAATGCTTGTCTGGAAAGCTATGCAGTGTTCAGGGGAAGGCTTGCAAAATATTTACTATAGCAAGTGCTTCACTGATGTTAATTTTCTTTCTTCCCCAGGCCATGAATGTGAAAGCTGTCCGTTGATACAGTACTTAAGTATCAGAGGAGTGATTCAGGTGCCCAGGCAGAGGTGTCTAGCGCTATTTCAGATCCCCTAGAGTATCAAGCCTGGCCTTCAGCTGTTGTAGGTCCTGTGTCAGCCAGCCCATGGGGAAGTCCTGGATATCCTAGGAGATCTAAGATGGCATTAGACACATGCTTTTAGGGCTCTGAATCCCACTTACAGTGATGTACTTGCTACCCTTATGATTTAAGTTCTTCAGGAGCAGGAAATCTTTAACTTTTACACACTGTACAACACCAAGCAGTGTTTACAAATAAGCATAAACTTGTTGCAGAACAGAATTTTATTAACTGGGAAACCTTGTGCTTGGTCTATTGCCCTGCTTAAAGAGCCATCCAGGCACTCTGAGGACAACTTTAGAGTGACTTGGAGCTCCATGAATTTCCCTGGACCCATTCTGTCGCTGCTCCTAAGCCACTCGTGGGGAATGCAGCCAGTGGCACTGGAGGGCTGTGCAGAAGCTTTTCTGCTGAGAGGCAGTAGGACCAGTGGGACGAGGTGGCATGGACAACACAGTGTCTCCTGTCTGTGCAGACTGGGATATGTCCTCTGTTACAGACCAAGAGAACACATTTTATGGTTCCCTAAGCTCTTCCTTGAGAGAAATACTACACTATTTCTTTGTTTTATCATTATTCCTAGCAAAGTTCAGATGCAAAAAGAGGATGCATGTCCCCAGAGGGCTTCTTTCAGTGCCATAGAATATGTGAAGAGGACATCTGACTCGTCATGCTGGGCTCTGCTGACGACTCAACACTGAATAAGGGTCCTTCCCAGTATGAGCAGGACTGGAATGGGAAGCTCGCATGGCCACATGCCTGCTCCACCAGTTTTGTGGATAGAGAATATATTATTTTCCTGTCCTATCACTTACTACCATTGCTGCAATCGGTTGAGCTACTTCACAGGAAACATATTCACGAGGTAAATAAACTTTCCTCGAGATCAATGGGAGCCTTTCTACTGACTTCAAAGCAGGGCTTTCCATATTGCAAGTGGAGATCTAGGATTATCTGTTAACAGCACCTAGAGCAATATAACCCAGTAGATTGTACTGGCTATGCAATAACCATTTCAAAACACTAACAGTATGATATCCTGTATATAGTGACCTTCGGATTATTTACACGGTATCTAAGAGATATTAGCTATGGAAAAAAAGGCTGCTGGCTGCTTCCATATTTCGAATTTTAAGAGCTTGGTTTAGGGGTCTAAGTAGGGTTTTAGCAGAGCGGTATTACATAGTTGTTCTTTACATTCTTAGTCACTGCATTTACATGAATACAAAAAGTACAACATGGCCTGACTTTTCCTTCTCACCCTCTTATCATAGAGGCCGCAAAAGTTCCCAGAGCAGAGTCTGTTGACTGCTATTTTGGAAACGACATAGAGATCCAGCTATAAAATTTTCATGCTCAATTATTGTTTTGGCAGGCTGACAACATTAGCCTGCAGAATGCATGGCAATTTTCTATTGTTTGTTACTCAATAAAATCTGAACGGAATCTCATGATAGGAAAAAAGATACGTCTCTAACCCAAAGGCCCCAGATTTGGCCTTCACTCTGCCAAATTTTAATATGATGTTGCAAACAGCAGGAGTGTTAGACTTTCAGAAAGGTCACTGAAATCTTTTACAATAGGGAGTTTTAGGTGTTCTAAATCAAATGCTACCAGCTGCTTTAAAAAAGAAAAGGTTTCTTTGCATTTGTGTCTCTTTTTGTCCCATATACCAGAATGTCATAAGAAAACCAATTATAAAACGAGGTTAAGAGTCTGATTTCAATCCATAACAGCAGAGAAATTCAGTGTTAATTCCAGAACAATTATTGTTCAGACTTAAAACTCTGCTCAAACTGATTATCCACCCTGGCATTCCAGTTTTAAAATAGTCCTCCAAATAAAAATGAGAACTCCATTTTGCTGAGTATTAGGGACTGAATGCCCTACTAATCAGTGTGAAGGCTTGCTCACGCACTGTTTCGAAGGCAGTAGTAGTTTTGGGTGTTTGAAGAATTGAAGTTTGGGACCCAACAGAGTACAGAAATCAGTACATACAGAAATCATAATTAACCTTTTTTTATTGAGTCTGGAAATTGAGTCTTTTTATTGAGTCAGGAAATTGTGTCATAGCCTTTGGCTCTTGTATGATATCCTGGCAAGTACCTTGTAGTGATGCCACCACCAAAGCAAGGGTAGAAAACAGGCCACAGTGGTCAGCCAAACTGTGAGGATTTACAGTTCACTGGAAAACTTGGAAGATGCTGGCTTGATAGCTAACACAGTAGTGATGCTTGTACTGGAGGTGGAGCTGACACTGTTTCTTGTTTCAGATGAACCAGAATCTTGACATTTGGCATAATTGCTTTTTATGGATTGCTTTCAGCTAAAGGTTTGGAGCTGCTGAATTGCAGCAAATTAAATGTCTGCAATCTGAAAACATCACTCTTCCATCTATTTAACCTACACATAATACTTCTTTTTTACCTGGCTAGTATATGAGGTGTTCGCTGTCTTTAGATCTACACTATCTAAAAACTCCCAACAAAAATTAAAGCAACAGGTGTTATTTCCTGATTAAAATCATTGCAGAAAAAGTTACTGGACAGTCATAAAAACCTTTATCTTTGAATAAAATCTTTTGGAAAGATCTATATCTGTGCTTACATACTACAGGCCTTAGCAGCATTGCTTCATTTAGGCTAATATAAAGCATTCTGTCACATCAGTGCATCTCTCCAGATCCTAGTTTATTCTCCAGAATCTCGTCTTTCAGTAAAAGGGAGAAAAAGAAAACCAAACCCCAGTCTCTAGCTGTTCTGCTCACAGAGAAATCCTACAAAATATAAACCTAATGTAACTACTGAAGGTATAGCTCTGAGTCTGCAGAGACTCTCAAGCAGCAAGAGGTAACCTAATCCCATTAGCTGCGTAGGTGTTGAACGCCTCATGACCATAATTTAAGTACTACCATTGCTAATTACTTCAGAGAAGAAAGACTGGGCAGAGTCATGGAGCTGTACAGCGTGCTGCATGCAACTCACCATCTGCTTTCACGGGAAGGGGATAGGGAGCGAGACCATACTTTTTTCCCTCCGTCTAGAAAGAGGTCACATAGTCAAATAGGGTCCAAGGATATATTTAAGTGTATTGTGGAAGAGGCCTGCTCAGGTCAGTTCAGGTCAGCAGAATAAACATCTTTGGAGCGTGTGCACATTTGGATATTGCTTACATTTTGTGGGGAAGGGGAGGAAAAGGATATCTCACCCTCCTACCCCCAGCCAGTTCCCAGACTATACCACAGCATGTCTTCTGCCGTGCTAACCTGCAGCAGTGGAATGGATATATTTGTGGGAAGATGGTTTGTTAAGTATGGGTGTAGAAATCCCTTCCACAAGGCTGTACAGAACAGCAGTGGGTCACATCTACAGTTACTCTGCTCCCTAGCACCCTTGAGAGCAGTCATGGAAAGATCCAGGTCTTTTCGACTAAAAGATCCAGGTCTTTTCGACTAATTTCTCTTCAGATACAGAGAAAGAGAAAATTCTGTTCTCCATATCCATAACGGACAAAATGGGAAACTCAGCAAGGAGTTTTGGGGAAGCATCCTAATAGCTACACTCAGTAATCCCTTGGGAAGGCTGTGGATCCTCCATGAAAGAAGGCATCTCCTGGGATGGAGAGATGGATGAGATGAACTCTCTTCTCTGTTTACTACAACTAGGTAATCCTCTCTGCAGTCCTCTATTACAGACTCATTAATCCCCGCATGCACAGTGCAGTGGAACAGCATATAACCGCTGCTGCCTTTAGCTACAGTCACAGAAGGGGAACTAGGTTTTGGTCTAATTATCTTGATGTTGGTGTTGTGAAAGTTTCCATAGCATGTAATAAGGCCTGTTTTGCTGGGGGCCAGATGCTCCTTTGTCTTTACTGAAATGCAGAGGAGCAGAACCCAGCTTGAGCTGAGCACAGGACAAAGAAGAGGGGAACAATGCCTCTGCAATGTGGTTTTGCAAAACTACCACAGAATTGCTGCTTCTTAAATCCTAGGGGACTGTACTGGAGCAATGCAATGTGGCATATTCCTCACAGGCAGAGCATAAAAAGCTAGATAAACAGCAAGTCTTTAGGAGGGACAGACCAAGGCCTATTTGTGGTAGCTGTAGTGTTTTGGGGTTCTGGTCCCACTGCTATTGTTGCTGGTGCCAATAGAAGAGCACCAAGGGAAGCACAGCAGCATGAAAGCTGTGTTTGCTGCCAGGGAAAGTACTTGCTGAATTCTGTGCCATGAGGTTTCATCTTTTCTGCTGTGCTTGGATATAGAGTTAATCATGTGCAACTCACATGTGGCTCCTTAATTCATTCAGGGTTTTCTTGTATTACTGCTAGTTCTTTCTTAAAAGGAAGGTGTTTCAAATCCAACGGATTTGGGCCTTTTTAAAATCTTGTGTTGTTTTCTATGAGTGTAGTGGGCCCTATTCTAGGATTTACCACAAGGCAAATGAATCCAGAATGTTATAATTTATTTAGAAAAAACTATTGGTATTGTTGCTTAATTCATATGGACAAGCAAACAACTCTTCTGCTGGGCTGCCTTACTAAGAGTAACAAATCAGTTCATGTTTTTAAAGTATCAGAAGAGAAACTTTAGGTGTCATTTACCTGCAAAGAGGTTCTACAAGGTCCTTGTCAAGAAAATCATGATCTTTTTTTACTGCGGCAATGTCAATGGGAAACTGGGAATCTATAAAAGAAGACACAATATTAAGACAATTGCTTCCTATTCAAATGAAAATGTATTGTCTACATCTAAAATGCTCTGCACGTGTTTCCTCACTGACATGCAGTATGATCCCTTTTACTCAGGCCTGATTTCCTTCCAGCCATATCTGTGACCCTTTCAGTTACTTCATTTTTTTCTATTGGAAGTTGAACATCTTATGCACCAAAGAGACAGCAACATCATGTCACTTTTGCTTTAATAAGATATTAAATTATTAGCTCTTCTTTCTACTGTCTAGAAGAAAAGAATGAGATCAGAAAATTAACAGCACACTTTCACTATCCACATGGGCAACAAGGTTCTCCATTCCCATCATTGCAACTTAATGAATTATTTGCTAGACAGACTTTTCGCACAAAATAGAAATGTCCTGACCTTCTCGTTTTTAATACAACGCCCAATAATAATTTTTAAAAAAGTGTTACTCAGATAAGAGACATGAAAAAATGAGCTCACTTACAGCCCTAATATTAGTTAAAAAGCCAGACTAGTGTGCTGGAAGCTGACATTTGCAGTGAAACGTGACGCAGCTGCAACACATTAGTGGGGTCCAGGACAGCGGGAGAGATTTCAGTGTCATGGCCGCCCCCCAGGTTGCTCAGCAATGCTCAGGTGCTACAACAGGAAACAGGGATGCAAGAACTGCAGCCAGCATCTTCAGACACCAGGGCTTACCGTTTACACAATAAATGCCTGCAAAAACAACCTTGTGCTCAGAGATGCAGACTGTCTAGCGTGCACATTGACTGCAAGGGAGCTGTGGGAGCTCAGTACCTGCGAGCCTGGCAGAAGCCAGCTAGTAAGCCTTGCTGGAGCTCCGCAGGCTTGTCATGGGATGAGGCCCAGACATCACGCTCCTTGACACTTTCGGTTCCCCAAGCGTGGATCGACAACGCCTGCACTGGCTCTCTGCAGAACTGGCTCTGGTCTGCAAGGTTTCACGGTTATTGCTCCCTGCCAGCGTAGCTGTGCTGCCTCCAGACCCACGCTGACCCTGGAAGCAGCCCAGCAGGTTTGGCAGAGCTGCGCGTAGGCTAATAAGCCCTAGTGGGCCTAAGCTGGCTGTGTATCTCTGGCAGAGATAATCTGCAGTGTGGAAAAATGAGGATCAGCTACAGTTTCCCTCTCACCACTGAGCTACAGAGAGTAGAAAATACCAGTCTCAGGCCCCAAACTGCTCCTGAGTGCAGCAGCAGTGTAAACACCCCCTGCTTATCTGAGCAGGACTTTTCAGCCACTCACTCCAGAAACAACAAAGCAGGGGAAATGACTGGAAGGCAGAGTCCATGCTTATTCTTGTTCCCAGAACTGAAAATTTTGGGACAGTGATCGGACACCCATTTGCTTTGAGCTAACACCAAAATATTTGCTTTTCTTGCTTTGTAGTGAGAGGAGAATGAATGAAAGCACAGCTCAGATCATTCACTTCTGATAACTTTGCAGAGTATTAATATTATCAATCTTATTTTAGACACAGTTCAGGAGATTTTAAAACAGAGACCTATGTATTTGGATTTTTTGTATTTGTTTTTGCTAATTTTTGAGCTTTACACAAACTATGTCCCCCTGTTTCTTTCCACAGCTATGTGGGTTAGAGTCTTACTTTTCTTTAGGCATTCGTATGACTCCAGCAGCTGAGGCTTTGTGAAAGCAGCCCACCATTGCAATGCTCCTAGTCAAATGTAGTGCTGGCGGACTGTAAACTCTCCTGGCAATGACTCAATGCACTTTCAGTCCTTCACAAATAGGAGAAAAACCTACTGACCTTCGTAGAACTGAGCATATTGGGGAAATCCAGCTGCACGTAACCAGTCACACGCTTCCTTTGCTTCGATTTCTGAGGAGAAAGAGAAGAGCAAATAGTTTACACTTTGTCATTTTTCATTAGAAATTCTTTTAACTGCAAGGAAACAGCAGAGGCTTGGTAACAGCTGTTAGCTACATAGCTACAGAAGCACTGCCATCATTCAGCAGTAACTGTCGGTAGCATCAGGAAACAAAATAGACATCTCTCAAAGAAGTCCTCCTGCCTCCATGGGACACAGGGCTGTCTAGCTGTTTGGTGACTGAGACAAAATGATAACCATCTCCACGTGGAAGGAGAGCTCCTGAGCCAGGTTGTGGCCTTGTGTCCTGTCCTTCCCTAGCACCTTACTGAAAGGCTTTGCACAGTGGAAGCTTTTGGGATGAAGTGAAGAAGCAGCAGGGTAGAAACGGGAAGACAGGGGACATGCACTGTGTTTTGTGCTGCTCCAAGATTTCTTGGAGAGAGCAATCAGTACAGACGTAGAGGGATATCATCTTTACACTGTTCCCAAAGAGGCCTGGAAGCCACTGAAAGCTCTGCCAAGAAAACCCCTGTGCAGGTATAATGCTACTGAAGGGACAGCTGTGCAGGTTGGATGCCTTTCCCTCCCTTTAGCTACTTAAAGTCAGTTATCTGGACTCCCTCTACAGTCAAAGGAGAGACATTTACCTACATAGGTTGATTCACTTCACCTTAAGGTGTCTAGAATAGGTGGGATAAATCACATACTGAAAATGCTTTTTCCTCTTATGACTGCTAACAGAGAAAGAATAAACAGTTACAGATATGTCTATGCAGCTAACTAAAACAGAGACAGGCAGTAGCTTCAAGCACTGGACCCCAGATCACTCACTCTTTTTAAATGTTAGTCCACTTCCAAGTCTGTTTTGGGCTATTTCATTTACCTCTCTGCAAGACAAATCTTTTCTTGAGAAGGCTAGTACTAGGCAGTGGGGAGATGAACCAATCTGTGTCACCTTGTCCTTGGGTCATCATTATTTAGAAGTATAGATGTAGCTTATGCTGGAGAAAATTTCCACTTTTAAACAGTTTTCACTGGGTAAGTTGAATCCTATTCCAATAGAAGAGCTGGGGGAATCATCAGCTGGACAAAAGAATAGTCCCTCCTTATTTGAGGGTTGACAGTAGGGATAGGTGAGAATGGGGAATGGAAGAAAATCCTGCCCCACAGGCGGGCTACATGAGACCCTACTCCCACAGATTTTTGCATAGGAGAGGCAGATCTAGCTTGTGCAAATACTAATCAACAGTGAATAAATGGCAGCTACATAAAAACAGAGAGTAAATTTTCAAGTCTCTCCAGTGAAACAGACTTTGTGCATTTCTGCAGTCACACACATGGTTTGTCCCCTGAACTCTGAGATGACCTATGCATGTTGACAGTAGGGTCACTCAATTTTTACCAAGCATCATGGGCTAATTCTGTAGAGACTTGAAAGCAATGCATCAAATCCAGCTCTGCCCAGCCAGGCAGACATGGGGATTCATAGGCTGTAGCTGCTCCCTGAGTGACTGGAAGAACAATGAAAAATAGACATTACCCACAAAAATATGTATCACTGGTGAAATCTAGACAACTTTACAACATTTCTAACCTATCCAAGTGTAAATTAGGGTCTGCCTTTTGAACAGTCCCGATTTACGGGACATGCATACACATCTCTTATATTTGCAAAATCTGCATGTATGTCAGCTAAGGAATGGAGTCTGTAAGTGCTGAAGAAAGTAGACATTTAAGTTCCTTACTATTCAACCTGAATTAACCAATGAAAGGTTTTGGCACATTTGTGGTTGTAAAATCTAGGCAGCCATAATACAAAACCCTAAACTTAGAATTGTTGTTCCCTAAACTTAGACTTGGAAAAAGAAAAACAGACTCAGTGGCTCTTCTGCATCTTCTGCCTTGTATACAAAAATCCTTAGTTATGTACTAAAAAGCATTTTTAGAGATATGAGATGCTGGCATGAATTCTTCTCTATGTAATTCCATTCAGATCACTCACTACTGCAGCTCACTATAAAACCTGCTTTGAATATACTCTGTAGTATGTGACCCGCACACCGTTCTGCCCCTCTGAATACTGAATCACACCAGCAAATTTTGTTACAGAAATAAAAATTCAGAATATAAGGTCTACTTATCAAAAGCACAATTTCCCAAAGATGATTAGACAGCCAGTAACAGCTCTGCAATGGTCACAATCATTAGCAGTCCTGAAAAGGATTTACCACCAGGTCTTCATTTGCTTTGACATTACTTCATGTCAGGGCCAAAAAAGGAGTATGAAAGTACATTCAGTTCTCAACGCCGCACAAAAGAATGAGCAACTTACATAAAATGTGGCTCTCACTACTGCACATCTGTGTGCTGAAAGCACATCTCTATTATGTTCCAGTGAGACTGAATATTTTTATTAAATGCTTGGAAAAAAGACAAGCCTTTATACTTTTTCTTTTGCTTAATTCAATCTCATGAAACACAGACGAATCAATCCTATTTCAAAATGTATTTTACAACTCATAACAGCTGTACATTCTAGCTTCATCTGGCCTGGAAGCACAACTAACAGAGGCTGCGGGTGATGGAGAATGCTACCACTTAATGCTCTTATATGCTTATCATATTTCAATGTGTTTTTCAGTTGGCTGCTCAAATCAGCTTGCTAAGAAATATTCCTGAAGCCCAAGTGAGACTAAAAAATCTCAGGTTGCAAAGGGTGAATAATTTTGCAAGGAATGACCAAGGAAGTAAATCTCACCCTTTTTTTTGTTGTTGTTGTTCAAATATTGTTCATAACAGACTACAACTCTCTTAAGTTTATCCATTACTCAAAATGATTGTCAGATTAACTTCTGGCTTCAAACCTTTCGCTCTAGCTCCTACATGAAGGCATCTATTGCAAGTATTCTCATTTTCTGAATGATCACCTCAAACAAACAGATTCAGCCTCGAACAAGATTTGCTAAATCAGCCTCTGGGACACTGGACCGCAGACATGTATCAACAGGACAATTTCTCTCCCGTCTCTCTATTTTCTTTTTGGTCTTTTTAACAGGACAACAGAAGGATAGACAGTAACTTGCTATTGGCTCAGCCAAAAATATGACTTTGCTCATAATAGGCTGTTTCTACTGGTTAAAGGCATCTGTTTCAACTATTCCGGCCACAACCAAGTATTTACTCCTCAGCAGAGACGGAAGGTGATTTCTACTATCTCACTCTGGGCATGTAAGCCAAGTTATACTTCAAAATGTAATACAGGTCTTTTTTTCATTACTGGATGTTGTGATACTTAAAATATAATTTTAGATGCTCAATTTAACATTCATCTTCAGTGTATATACTGGATACTGTATATATACTGTATATAACCTCGATATAAGAACGAGCCTACAGCAGCTGCCCTATCGTCATGAGGCAAGCAGGCTACCAAGAACCAAAGTTAGGACAAAAAAAGAAGACGGAATCTCTTGGACTACAAGAATAAAAACACTCACAGTCCATCCATGAGAGCAAATTGTATTTCCAAAAGGCATTAAAGGTTCAGGAGATCATGGATGCTTTTTAGAAATAAAGCTAGTAGTTTCTCTCAGTCTCTGTAACAGAGACTGGATTCTTTCCAAAGTTTTGCTTCTCCCCAAGAAAACCTCATGTAAGAATATTGAACCTTTCAACACTGTAGGGCTATTCCTGAAGGGAGAAAGCAGGTGAGTTACATTAATTGCAACCTGCAATACAAAGAGGTGTGCATGCTGCCTCCTTGAGAAGAAAGTACTGCAGAAGTCAAGCAGAAAATCTTAGGAGAACAACTGGAAGTGACCAACTGAGGAAAAACTCACCCTGGGACCTGTCTGCTTATTGCTTAAGCTGAGAAACCAGGCCGCCTCAGGGCACAATCCTGCAAGTATGTGTAAAGCTGCCTGTGTTTGCAGATGGCTCCAAAGCACAGAGAAGGCCTGTCATGCTGAGAAGAGTGATACGAGAGAGGACGTGGCTCCTTGTTTTGAATTTTATAGCTGGCAGGAGCCAGAGCTTCTCCTGGACTCATGCCCCCGCCCCAACTACCTGCCCACTGGCAGTGTCCACCTCTGAGATAGCATCTCCAGGCTTTTGTTAGGACATCTGGGAAGCAGAAATTCTGGCATGGCCTGACCAAAAGGCTGCTGACCCCCATGTGTCTGATGGCAGGTTCATGTGTAGGCACTAGCCTGCTCTGCTGTCTGAAAAAATGACAAGCATCAGTTTGTCTAACAGTACTGGAGTTCTCAGGGATTTTTCAGTTTTTACTTGAAATGACCACGTGGCTTGACAGCAAACAAGTTTCTCTTTTCCAGTTCCCTTCTCCACCAGTAACAAGTCCTTACTGAGGTTTGTATCCTCAAAAGTCCTTCAGCAACACTTCTGAGGACATCAGGGGTACTTCACGGTCATCTACACCCCTGCTATATATCAGCTTTTGCCAGGAGGCATGTACAAAGCCACCTAAGCACAGACGTTGCTACAGAGCTTCCTCAGATCTTGCCTTCGAGGCCCCCAAGAAGTTCCCTTCTTGCTTCACCAGAACTTTTTGCTGCAAATGTACAAGCAGGGACTTCAAACTTTGTCACTTCTTTGATAAGCCGTTTTTTTTTTTTTCTGCAGCATTGTTTCTTAATCTTTCCTCTTGGAGTTGTCACTCTTTAATATTAAATTAAATGCTCATCAGAAACACTACTACTGCAGTCCGAAGTATGTATTGCACAGCAGATACTGAAATGCAAATCTCTGAACCTATATATTTTTATTTAAGAAAGTTAAGTACAGTAAAGTAAGGAGAGAGAGATTTACCCAGAAAACTTGACAGATGGTAAGAGTACAGCTGGAATATGGCTTCAAGTCCATGCTTAGCATTAAGCAGGTTTGAACTTATCTCCCACATGCCAAGTGAATGCTCTGGATATCCCAGGGCTGGAAGGGACACGGCTGTTTGCAGTCTTTTTCTCTCAATTCTTTTTCTGATTCTTCACAA